ATAGCCGAACGCTTTTGTTGGCCTGGCATGAATAAAGACGTGAGGGAGTGGGCACGCTCCTGTGTAAGCTGTCAGAAATCCAAGGTAATCAGACACAACAAATGTCCCTTAGGTTCTTTCAAAACCCCTGACGCTCGTTTCGACCACGTCCATCTAGATTTGGTAGGACCCTTACCCGACTCGAACGGATACTCATATCCCCTAACATGCGTAGACCGTTTTACTCGATGGTCAGAAGCAGTACCGATTAAGGACATTACTGCTGAAACCGTGGCCCGCGCTTTCGTCGAACGATGGGTAGCAAATTTCGGCTGACCTTCAACCATCACTACAGACCGCGGACGCCAATTCGAATCTGGACTTTTCCGTTGTCTGACCTCACTATTAGGAATCACGCGTTTCCGAACGACCGCCTACCACCCACAAGCAAACGGGTTGGTAGAACGTTTTCATCGACAATTAAAAGCTTCATTATCAGCTTCAAACGTTTCACAGTGGACAGACACTCTTCCACTCGTCTTGCTAGGTATCCGCAATGCAGTGAAAGCTGACATTGGATACACGGCATCTCAACTCGTTTACGGAACGACACTCTGACTCCCAGGAGAGTTCGTGGATCCTTCAGCTTCTTCATTGAACATGGATCTAAACTCTTACACGAGTAGGCTTACAAACGCTATGCGTTCAGTTAAACCTGCTCACACTCGACCTCAATCAACTGATGTTTTCGTTCAACCCGAATTACGACATAGTACACACGTCTTCGTTCGTCGAGACTCACATCGACGACCCCTCGAATCAGCATACGAAGGACCCTTCAAAGTTCTTCAACGCGAACCTAAGTACTATGTAGTTGATAAGAACGGTACGAAAGATAGCATCAGTATCGATCGACTCAAAGCTGCGTACCTAGAAGGAAACCCTAGCTACGTCGATTTTCCTTCGGTACAAGCAAACGACACAGCTACTACACTCGTAGTACCCCACGACAACCGACACACAACTTGATACTTCGTCAACGTCGATAGAAAAACCTAAAACAACGCGTTCTGGAAGACGAGACAGATTTCCAGAGCATCTTAACGAATATTGCACGTAGGACATAAGCTTTATCATGAATTACCCTTCCATAGTTCATTATAAAAAAAATTTTAATATGATAATTTTTTATTTATATAAAAAAACCAAAAAAAACAAAACATTTTTATCTTTTTTTTGAGCGTATATATATATATACTTTTTATATATAAAAAAAACAACCCAAAAACAAACCATTTTTTTCCAATCGCTTTTACGTTGTTTGTAAGTGTATCAGTTTATTTTCTCCGTTCATCTTGTGTCCTTACGCAAGTACGAGTGTATTTTCGACATGCACTCACACGTTTTATTTTTCCTCTTTTCCAGGACGGCTGGAAAAGAACGACGAAGTTTCGCAAGAAACCGAAATTTTCATTGTACTATATTTTTTTATTGCTATGTTGTACATTTTGGTCCCATAGTTTAAGGAAAGACGACCAGATGCTGCTAAACGAAGCAAGCTATCAGAAGAGTGTTTACCAGCGACAAACTCGTTGGGTTTAAACTTCTGGCTGGTCACGTCTTAGGGGCATCACTACCTCACTAGGGGGGGAGTGATCTGTAGCTGTAAATAATTCCCCAAAATCAATAGTTCATTAAGTGTTCGACATTGGATGCTGACCATGTTGTTTAAGTGGACTTGTTTAACTGAAGGCTTTCGGTCATGCATCCGCACCAGATCACGTTTCGACTCGGCGTGGGACACAGCTCCTACGTTTCATTAGCCAGCTCATAGAAAAGGTCCTCCATATATTGGTAACGAATCAAATATATCTTTCCTGCCTCTTCTCGTCTGACTTCTGATTTCTATCTGACTGGGAACAATCGAATTTAGAAGGTGCTACTGGTATCTAGTTGTAAAAGTAGAATATCCGTTGCATCATCACTCCAATTATTCCATCGTCCCCAAGAATCCCATTAAATTCTAGAACCTTGTGTTTAGCATGCTAAAAATGTTTTGTCATTGTCTTTGTTTAAAGAGCATTATTCGTATTCGCGGCTACAAACTAGACCCTAGAAGGAAGTTGTTATAGGCCTAGAGTCACATATTTGACAAGGCTACGCAATGTATCCAGCTCCAAGTGGTTTCATATCGTAAAAAATTCTTAAGTAACATTCTACTTTAATACACAGTTGCTGACCTCTTGAGTTCTACTTAACATACCCTAGCTGAATGCGTTCGGTCATGCACCCGCACCAGATGATGAGTTAGTACTTCGCACAAAGCTCCACATGCAGCTACAAGTCAGCTTGGGAAAAACACTTCTCGACAATATCGATAGCTTTCCAAATATATCACTGAACCCGCTTATTTACAAAAGCCGATCTGACTGGGTTGGTAAACTTCAATTATAAAGATGCATGTAGGGGCGTTGCCAAACTCCGATTACATGCGGCATCTTTGCGACTTGGCTATTAAATTGTAAACAAGTAGCATTTCCTACCTCAACACATGATTTAGACTTCAAATCTCGACAGATTTAAGAAACATTCAGATCAACTGAGGAGTACTGACCATCACGGCTAAAACACGGGGTTAACACTGCCTTTCGTCCTAAATTCTAACCAAAACTAATGTCAGGAGATCTGTTGTACACAATTTTTATCAATTTACGTGTTGATTCATAAATTTCGCTCACAAATCTACAAAGTAATAAGGGGAACAGCCTCATAAATCGGTAAACTTTCGATTTTGCACACAAGCGTGTTTGGATTCGTTTTTAATGATGTTCCATTCATTTGTACCGCGATGTTTGAAAATCGTCGGTGATGATTGCTGACTGGCCAGGTATGATGGATTTTCTTCTTTTGGTCTTTTCCTATATGTTTTAAGTGGAAGTGTTACTAAGTAGATAACATTTTCAGTGTCCCATGCATGATGGAGTTGAACTTGTATTATATAATTAAGTAATTTCAATACAACTATCCAAAAATCTATTCATTCGATTCGTTCTTACAGACGCAACGTCCTGGAAATTCGTTAGTTATGTATGATCAACAAAGCCTGTTAATGAGTCGTAAATACAGGTATTGATTATTATGTGAGCTCTTTAAGTCACTGCTCATGATTGTAAACCACAGGCTAGTCGTGACTGCTTATATGTTCTGACTTCCTTTTGTCGTAGAAGAGGGGTTTCTCAGACTTAGCTAACACGCTTCCAGATCACTTAATCCAGTAGTGTCGAATCATGTTAAGCTTTGCCGAAAATCAACCATATTCTGTCCCCTAATATTCTTGGGGATCTCTGTTGTTATTAACTTTTGTTTACTGGTTTCAAGTTCAGCACATGCTGTAGTTGCCGATAATTGAAAATTCAAAAGTTATCGACTATATCCTAGGAGCTATTTTCTAATCTGCGTCTGGCGGCGTGGGTTATCAGCACTGAAGCTTTTATGCCGATGTATGTTTCGAAATATACATGCGCCATTTAGGTATAACTGCTCACTTGGTTTGTGATAAGTGTGGTAAACTTCCGTGATCCACTGTTAAGATACCTGAAGATTAAACAGCAAGTTCCACAGGTCATCAGCCATTAGAGATCCGGTAATGAGTTATTGCTCCTTTTGAAGTGCAACAACGTTCAGACACTACTTTGTGACTCAACAGAATGACTGTCAAGTTCGCATTACCTTGGTCGGAAGTGTATCAAGATATTGCATAAACATATTCAGCTGCTGAACACAAATTCCGTACAATGGGGCACCAAATACACATGCGCAACGCAATAACAATGAAGCCAATCATTGATTTGTGTGAGGACTGTGATACTTCCCAGGCGCCCAAACCGAAGCAGGATTCAGTTGTAAAATAAAAATACTGCAGGTGTATTTAATTTGAAACTAGCTAGAAGCTAAACGAGTTGCTCGTCTAACCGATCAATATTTTGTCTTCTTAGTCAATTACTTACTACTTATGTAAATGTTTCTCTCACTAATCGAGTTTCACTGCTTATTTAAGTTTCCTTTTTGTCATGAGGGTCGGGATACTGTCCGGGTGCCCAAACTGAGACAGGTGTTCGTCCTAGGGGGCCACATTCTGAGCCTTTGACCTAAAAGTCTAATCCACAAGGCAGTGGAGCAACATTAGGAAATGCAATCATATGATGGCTCTTTTTAAAGATGGTGGTAACTTTCTGGCTAAGGAACTGACTGCGTTGTTTGCAAAGGTTTGGGAGGAAGAAAGTGTAATTCTCAATTGCAAATCAAAGGTCGTCCACCATATTATTATTATTACACAAGACTTATAACCCATACATTGCCTTTTGCGATGATTTTGAAGTCCTCTAGGTATTTCAGGTGTTTTGTTCTCTGAGCTGGATGGTTTGGTCATAAAACTTTTACCGTCCTTCTGAACGACATCATAAGCACAAATTTCATGTAGGAGTGGTGTTCGGAATTTTCCACATCCACATTTTTTTACCATCTAGCTCACACAACAAAACTTCATTTAAACTATCCACCTGAGCTATAAATCTCCACAATTTCTGGGTATTTTGCTTGAATTTAAGTCAATGTTCTATTCAGGAATGACACACGTTCCATACTTTTTAACCAATACTGTACGTTTTAGTTAGACTTCCGATTAGCTATCAGATCTAGTTGATTAGTTAACAAAGTTGTTCGCGTAATTATCCCCTTTATTGTTATGAGAAAAGCCCTACTGATTGTGTACTGAAATATCTAAATTCAATAACTCTGCTGTACATCCATTTAAGTTCTAGCTTCCTAGTGAAAGCACTACACTATCTAGAAGTAAAAGGGAAATATTTTGATAATAGTGGGTTTTATGTAAAATATTGGTTCCTAGACATTTAGTTAATATCCTAAGTGTATTACAAATCATTCTCAGAAATCTATTTCTCGCTTTAGGCTTTAATACTTGTGTTTACGACATGAATTTGAAACCTCCAACATAATAACTTATGGATGTCCAAACTGGCCACTGTGAGTGGGTTGCTTCGTCCAATACGAATATGTCTACGGAGGGACTCATTAGCTCTATTGCCAACCTAAGTTTCGAAGAAACCCGTTTGCTTTGGGGAAATAATGGTTATGCTACAGTATCTACTCAAGATGTTCTTGGAAACCGTCCACCATTCGGCTCGACACCATGGGATATGTCTTCAAACCATACCACTTCAAATTCCATACCAATGGTTCGCAGTCGGCGCGACAAGCTCAACAGTACAATTCCAGAATCTAATCTGAGTGATGGAAGTATTTTGATGTCTCCTGGATCTAAAGATATGGTGGCTTTGGGGATGCAGATGGCGGATCACGTTCTAAGTAACTCTCCAGGTAGTAATGGTAAGCTTTAAAATAAATAATCATTATTTTTTCGCAGCTCAGTTCTTGAGAGACATTTCTGAAAACTTGTCAAATGCCTTTCCTCATCGTCCAGCACCTAATTCACTCAATGGATCCCAGTCTGTTGCATTAAGTTCTTATCAATATGATTCAAACGTAAGATCAATCCTTCCTAATGAGTCAGATGCTTTGCATCAAAATCAACCTGTTCAGTCTGGAGCCAATGGATTGATTTCAAATTGCTTTAATCCAGCTCAATATTATATGCGTCCGCCCTCAGCTGCAACACAGTCTCTACAACAACTACCTTATTCGATTATACCTAATAGATCCTCGGAATATGTACATGTAAAAAGCTTTACCTCAGAAGCGATTAGTTGCGAACCTTGCAATTCCGTTCAAGCTGAAAACGTAGTACCTTATTTCATCAACGTTCCAGCAAATACAGATCCTTCAGCGTCTAACTTACCTGCAGAGTCTTTCAGTATGTTTACTGGTTCCCATTTACATCGAGATCAACATCCAGCAAGCCAGTCTGATAATACAACCCACTTAGTTCCTATAATTCCTCAAACAAATCGCATCAGTAGTTTACAACCTGTGAAGTATAATTCCACAAACGCTAACGAGGAACATAAAAACCAATCATTTAATCCTTACTTAGGTGGTGCATTTTCTGGTGTAAATCAACTAAACACATGTTTGGATTTTAATGGTGAACTTCTGACAAATCCTTCGTTTATTAGTCATGTTTCTTTAGCTTGTAGTGAAGGCTACCTACCAACATTTATTCAGTCTAATGGGCCACCCCCACAAGACATAAATAATTTTGGAGGTTGCTCAAACTATCCTGTAAATCAAGATTTTTATATGCATGGACCTTATAATAATCTCGGAGGCAACAGGACGGTGGAACATGCTTCGTCTGAACATACTACTAACGGACTAGTTACAAATTCTCCTTATGGTAAGATTTTTCTTTGGAAAAAGATAAATTCCAAGGTTTTTCATGACTGGTTGTAGTCGTTTGCTTTGACCACAATTCATATAATGTACGTCCTAGCTGTAACTATAAGGCGACACTTGCTATTTGGACATGTCGACAACATCGCCACGTTTGACCTTTTGTGGTTCAGACAGTATTTTTATTTCAAATCTAGATAGCTCAGTGGCAAAGCGGAAACAGCTTATATCTTAATTTAAGTAATTTTGTTGTTACAGTTTAAAGCTGTAATTAATCGTTGTACTTGAATGTAAATACCGTGAGATACTTCCCTTGAATGATCACACAATCTAGTAAAGACTGTCTGTAAAAGCAGATAATATGTGCGCGTTCGTGCACTAGCAAAACGACACAACTTAGCAAAATAAACTGTATATGTATATCCAGTTTCTCAGGTTCTTCAAAAAGCAGTCTTCGGTATACAATCAGCAGATTGATCAATCAGTCACAAACAATGTTACATCTGGACGAAGTTGCCACAAGCCGTTCAAGAAAAACTGGGAAATATATTTTAGCTAAGACTTCAAGCTTATGTTTACTGATATCATATCCCTTTTCTAGTATCATGTGTTGCTACCGCCTTCCTACTGACTTATCATGTATGTCGACAGCAATTTTTATTTGATTTTAGCCAAATACAAACGCATTTTACAAAACTTCTACCCGAAGTTTGTGCTCCACGACCAAACCATTCAGCTCAGAGAACGAAACTCCATCAAAATCATCCACCTGAGTTACAAATCTTCACCATCTCAAAATACATTCATTCTATGCCTTCCCTTCAATTTTTAGTTTTAAAGTTATCTTATACGTTTATTTCGTGAATTTATTCTTTCATCTCTAATTATATCTTTGCTCATTATTTTCTATTACCACTGATACTACTGCTACTACTCTGGTCTTCATTTTGATAATTTCATCTTGCTGTTGGGATGTATTATGGGAATTTGGTCCGATACACATTTGTACTTGATTATTTGTTGCGCGTGACTGACTGGTGTCGTTGTGTACACGTATTGTGTATATTAGTGTTTCCGACTGCGCAATTTTAGCCTTCATTTCCAAAAGTTACGATAGTTTGGGGCTTTATTTGTTGTGCGTATATGTATCAAAAGGAGTGAAAACAAGAAAATGACCACGTATAACTTTTAGAGAGATTAAATAAGCCAGTCAACATTAGGTCTCTCAATTCAATCTTTCAGTGGTTAGAAAAGACAGTGTATGAAATCAGTCAGTTAGACGCTACGCGAAACTACATGTGCACGGGTTCAAGTCGACGCATAACATCAACACAGCGAGATGCCAGAACATTATCACTACCGATAGCATTGATGTTAGTAGAAATGGTTTGTGAAAGAAGGTATAATTTGGTGAAAAACATGGGCCCGTGAAAGAAAACATAAAAAGCTAACTAAGAAGCTTGGAGTCCAAAGAGATGTGTTCAAACTCATGCGGAGGTATTATATTTAAGAACGACAAATAAGTATAGTAGCGGGTAGTAGAACTTGCGAGTATTTCACGTATTATTGTCAAAAATAAATAAACATCTAAAGAGTTTGTGTTATACTCATCATTACATTTTTGCATGGTATTCTTTTTTCGTGTTTTCACACTTGTTCAGGTCCCGTACAGTATGGGCCACAAAAGTTTCAGCACACTCTTTACCCTAGAGGTGTATCACCAGCCCCAGGTGACCAACTGAATATACAGGTACCTAATTGTGCTGGTGCAAACAATTATCCAATGCACCCAGTTGATACTATGGTAAACACGTTGGTTGGGCCACAATTTCTCGGACCGTCAGCGAATGGTCATGCACAAAATGGGGCTGGTTTTCAAAATTTACCTGTCAGCGGTTTATATCAATCTCTTATTCAACCTAAAGATCCTTCTATACATATCCAGGCTCAAGCTGTTCAACCTGTTTCAAACGACCAACAACAACAATCTGCAGCATTATTTGCACACACTCTTCAGATGTTTGCAGCTGCCGCTGCTAGGAATATGGGTTCTGGAACACACGATCTTCATGTAACTGGTGTCGGGTCAAGTAGCAGTGGATCCGTATTAAATTCTGTTGATTTTGAGTGTTTAAGGCCACCAGGTGTAAATGCAGAAGTCCCACCTAATGCACCCATACTACCAGATCATTTGCAGGTAATCTGGATTAGAGCTTATTTTCTGTTTTGTTTTGGTACACAAGTTCTAATATCAAACTTCTCTGAGATCTTATTTTATGGCATTTATAAGGAAGATCAGTTCCATGTGACAATACAGTCTATAAAATTTACAGTGAATACAGTGTCGTTACACAGTCGTTCGAGTTTAGTTTATAGTAATCATCTGTTTCCTTGTGTAAATTTTCTGTTGGAGAATTATAAAACAGTAAAGTTCGCAACACTTTTGAGAAAATTTGAGTAGATTAACTTACTGATTTCCACCCCGAAACATACAATGTATTAACGGTATCAATGACAAGACTGGACTTAGTAGTTTCAAATAAATTGAGCATGGGGTACTGCCGAGAGTGGGGAGAGTTTGCTCTCCCTCTCCAAATGCTCTCACATGGCCACGCGTATATATCCTCTGGCAGGGAGGTCCCACTTACTGCCTTCTCGTGACATTACTGTTGTTTACGAAATTAAGAGGACGAAAAGCGAATGTCCGGCGCTTTAACCAGGGTGGTGGACACAGAAAGTTCACCTAGGGGAGTTGGAAAACCCTGATTCCAAACCAATGGTGTACATGGGCTTTAGTATCCTGAAGGAACAAATGGCGTATGAATCAATCGTTGGTCACCAGCTACCATGTGACTGCATCTCCTCACGATTCTCCACTGCCTTATGGATCAGACCTTAAGGTCAAGACTCCGGGTGTGACTTCCTAAGAAAACCACCTGCTTCAGTTTGGGCACCTGGGAAGTATCACAGCCCTCACACAAATCGAATGAGATTTGTGCGGCGCATATGTATCTAGTGCTTCCTTGTACCAATATTTATATGTTAAAATAAATAAATAAGATGATAAATATATTTTTTGTTATATTCCCGTGAGTAGAGAAGTTGTATTTCTGATGTTTCGTGACTCAATGTGAGCCACTTCTTCAGAATAGATAAATAACCGAATTAACACAAGTCTAAAGAGTACTACTTAAACTTGTGTTAATTTAATTCAGTTATTTATTTACTCTGAAGAATTGGCTTACATTAAGTCGCGAAACATCAGAAATACAATTGTTCTACTCATTGGGATATAACAAAAAATATACTTATACAGTGTATTTTATTGTTGTCCTAAATAGCCCATAATTTTAGACTTCAGTCAATGTGTAACTGTGGAAACATTTCGGTGGTTAAGGAAGCACATTAAGCCACTGCTGGATTTGGAGTTGTTACCGAAGGTTTTCATAGGTTTTATCTTAACAACTACATTCTTGAGTTAACTCCCACCATTGTTCATTCTTGATTCTTATGGAGATTGTCTTCCTACTCCCATGATAATTGATCACTATATGTCCTTCAATGACACTGTGTTGGGAATGTCAAATCCCCAGAACTTACTTGGTAAATGGCTTAATCTTGTAGTTTTAATTTGAAAATTTGAATTTAGCTGTTTTCGCGCCAAAAGCGCTCTTTTTACCTTCACGTCATATTTCCCACCTGTAAACTATCTTAACCGCTATTGGTCCATTGTTTCTTTATGTGTGCTATTTACTAATGATGCTCAAGGACAATTTGTTACTGTATAAATGCGCTTGACTTTTCCCCTTATTTGATTGCTTGTACTCGGCTGCTTACGGAATACATATATATTCCCCTACTTGCCTTGGACTTCTTCATCTAGTTATCGGGGCCTGGGACAACAGATTAGAATAGCTTATCGTGTTATCGTGTCATTGGCTTTCGTTCGTTACCGCGGAATCGATTTAGTGTCAAACACACTGGTTTTTCAAACATTTTATTTGTGGACGTTTCCCACCAATTTTGGACTTAGTTAACTTGAGTATTCACTATTTTCGTTGTATCTTCAACGATGATTATTTCATTCATATTCCATTCTTATCTCGTAATCAATCTCTTTTTAGGCATATGCGGGTAATTCTTGTGTTCCTGTCAATGCCGTAGAAAGTCCGGGTCCCCGTCATCCCCATTCCACCTTGGATTTTAAGTCGATGTGCTCAACAGTTCCTGCTCCTTTCCCACCTATCTCATCATCCATTCATTCACAAAATATTTTCCCACAAACTGATGTAATTACTCAGGAGTTTCAGCGTACTGGTTTAGGTTATACCGGATTGTCACCTCTGAATTCAATGGGTGATCGTCTGCTTCGACCTTCCAATACTTTCGCAAGACCTACACCACCATTGTCTTCCAATCGTATGCCTTATATTCCTGTGAGTGTTACAGACTCTCAATCACCTCCTAGAACTCCGACCACAATAATTTGCCCAAGAATTAGTGTGCCACCAGTCCCACCGAGACCTCAAATAGCTACTTCAACTATGTATACTTGTCAAAATAATGGTCCACCTCCTTTTTCTTCCATGCATACACCACGCTTTCCTTCACGCGGCCCAACTAGTTTTCCACAACTGAATTTGACACTCATGCCTCCACCTCTTCCTCCTTACCCTCATCATATTCATCAGCCACCGCCTGTTCTTCCGCCACCTGGATTTCTACCATCAGCTCATTCCTATCGCCCTCCTGGAACCAGTAGCTCTTCTGGCCCACTTAATAATACATCACCTTCAGGAAACAAGCCAGTTCATAGCAGATTTCCCAAAGATCACAATCACTGTACAACACTGCATCAACCTAACACTCCTGTGTCTGTGATGACACTCACGTTTGCAGCTGCTCAGCAACAAAGCTCAGGAATAAATTCTACTCTCGGGATAAGGAATTCGTCTGACCAAGCTTCTCATTTTCAACCTCCGTACTATGGTTTTCCTACTGATTCAACTACAACTCCCACTTTACAACCAAATTCTTCGTATCTTAGTCATCCTAATCCACCGTTACATATTAATAACATGTTGCCCTTAAGACCGACTAATGATGCTGCTCCAGAGCGTAGTCGTTTGTTGGAAGAGTTTCGGTATGTTTTCCCTCATCTGATTTCATTTTTTCCACCGTTGATTTTTATCTTACCTATGCTGAATCAGAAGCTAAACAGAAATAAATTCAACCAATCCAAGCTGAAACAGAAAATACATTCGCTATTAGAATACAAATTAGTAACTATGGTTTAAACAATAAAGATTCGAATTACACCTACTCAGTTTTGCTTAAGTAGATTACTTGTCTTCAGTCATATGATTTAGATTTGTCATCACAGGTTTCTGTGATAAATTTGAAAAAACGTTATTGTGTAAAGTACTGGATTTCTTATATCCAAACACCTACTAAAAGTCAGTAATAACTTATTGATATATTGTCAGTTATGTTATCCAATATGTTTTAATGTAGTTAAAGTCCTTGAAAATCATCCAACAATGTAATAATACCATATGAACGCATATTTCCAAATCAAAGTCGGGTTCATTTTCAGTGTTTCATAGCTCCCTGTAGGGTTGTATGTCTGAGATTCTCGGCCGTTGAAACAAATGGTGTATATTTTACACAAAAATCTCTTAGTGAATTTAAAGTTGCATTCTTGTTTCTATCAAAATGACGTGCTGACATATTCAGCTGCTCATAAATCATAAATTGGTTAAGCCGTAAAAGTTGGGTTTATTGTTCTCGGTATAGGAAGTATATGATCCTATCACTTACCAGATGTACTTCATGTTCGTTAATGTTATGTCTTGATCAAGGCCGTCGCTAATTTGTTATGACCTTACAAATTAAGCAAGGGCGTAACTCGTGTGAACTATACACCAATAGAAATACGACTTCTCCGACCTTAACACGGTGACAATCAAGGACGTCCAATCAGTATGAGTAATCTTGCGTCCTTATTGGTCCCTCGTCCGCCTAGCCGTCCACTTGAGTCCAGAACGCCAATAGCTGCTTCTGTTATGCGAATCTAAGCGAATCGTTTATTTTAAGCATAATTTGTTTTTATACTAGACAGACAGACTACATCACACCGGATTCATAGAAGTAATTAATTTAGTGGTGGTAGTATAAAAAGAAAGGTTGTATATAAGGATATAGTGTAGGAAGGAAGTAGGTTATGAAGCAATTTTAATCTCAAGGTTTAAGGGAAGATAAAGAGTGTATACACCTACGCCATTTTGATAGATTCTGAGCCTTGTCACCTAGAGTCTCCAACCACTGGTTACGATAGTCACGCGGACCCCAACCAGGTAGTCTGCATCTGCCAACATGGCTCAGACTAGAAGTTAGCGACATCAAACACTGATGCCATGTTTTGGTTTGGCCGCACCTAACTCTCTTCCAACAATCCTCAGTACTAGTCATCATAGCGCGTCGTGGTAATCGGTGTTCAGGCATACGTACACACATGGCCCAACCATCTCAGTCGATGAAGATTCATCACCCCATCAATTGATTTACCATCGTTCCCTAATACCCTGTGTCTAACCTCCCTATTACTTACCCGGTTATCCCAGCAGATGCGAGCAATATTTCTAAGGCATCTGTGGTCAAATACTAGTAACCTATGAGTATCTTCCACTCTTAATGGCTATCTTTCACAACCGTAAAGTAGAACAGAGCGAACTGCTGTGCAGTATACTCGTCCTTTAATTGATAGACGGATATCTCGTCTTCGCCATAGTTGACGTAAGTTGGCAAAAGCCAAACGAGCTTTTCGAATCCGTGCTGAGATTTCGTCAGACGCCAACCCATTAGGGCTGATCAGACTTCCAAGATAAGTGAAGTTGTCGACGCGTTCGACTACTTCACTCCCTATCCTTAGTTCGGGTTTTATTCTCATATTAATGAAAATATACTAATGACAATGATGTGTGGGCGAGAATGATAATGATTGGTTATTTTGCTGAGTCAGACATTAGATAGGGTGACAAGAGTTAAATGTATTATATATTCCCCTATCCTAATTATTATTATTAATTAACTGTTCTTGTTGTCGGGTTGTGTCGGATTTTGGTGTGGAAATATATTAACGTTCTAGTCAGGCTAATCTCGTGTTCTTGATGTGAGTTGTGTTGAAGTCCTTTAGAATGGACACTGAGAGGGAATCTAGTGTAGATATTCATCTAAGGCAAATTAACGTCCCACATACGTGTAAAAATTGAAAGGACTGTTATAACAAGAAACCCTAGCGTTATAACAAGTATCCCATTAGTCATAACAATTGGCGACGGAGTAAAAAAAATCGAACCAAAGTCAGCCTGCAATTGGTCGAAAATCAGGTAGTTACTATCTCCCCTATTCACAGGCACGTTTGTCTGAATCATGTACCCGTGTTATTTTCTATTTTATGGTATGATGTGGTCAGTTTGATTGGTATATAAACTCATTATGTTTGAAATACAATGATTCGTACCTCAGAGGCTGCTCTGGACTTAACTGACTGGGTAGGCAGAAGCAGGACTGATTAGTACTCTAAACTGCTCGTACGGTTTCATGTGTCACTGTTCCAATCGATAAATTGCTGCTCTCTAATTGGCGGTCTTATCACGTCACATGTTAACAAGGCATACACTCGGACACAAGTTATAACAGACAAAGTTTATCCTAGCTTTTATAAATCCCATGGCGTAAATATTTTCTTAAACATTTTTTTGGTTAAACGTTAGAAGTTAATGCAACTTAAATTAATCTAATGTGCTAGATTCAATCTTGTTGCGAATTTTTTTTTACCTTCTAGTTATTTACAACATTTCTGTACAAACCATTCAGCTAATCTATTTAATTTAATTTCTATTCTCTATTTAGTAATTCTCGATTACCTTGTTTAACATTACATGATTTAATGAATCATATTGTGGAATTTGCTCAAGATCAATATGGTTCACGTTTTATTCAACAGAAATTAGAACAAGCTAGTGTTGTAGATAAAACTAGTGTATTTCGTGAAATTCTTCCTCATGCATACAATCTAATGATTGATGTATTTGGAAATTATGTAATACAAAAGTTTTTTGAATTGGGAACACCAGAACAAAAACAAGTAAGCTTAATCCATTCGTTACTTTTTTACAACTTTTTAAATACTTATGTCATTAATTGTTAGCCAAGGCTTTTGTGAACACCCAAATGCCCTGGTACGGCTGGGAGTGGAGAGAGTCCGCTTTCCCTCTCGAAAAGCTCTCATATGGTCACGCGTATACAGCCTCTGTTAGGGAAGTTCTACTCACTGCCTTTTCGTGACGGGGGTGTGGTTTACGAAATTGGGAGGACGAAAAGCGAATGTCCGACGCTTTAATCGGGTTGGTGGGCACGAAAAGTTCACCTAGGGGAGTTGGAAAACCCTGATTCCAAACCAATGGTTCACATGGGCACCAGTATCCTGAGGGAAAAAATCGAGTATGAATCGATTGTTGGTCACCGGGTACCATGAGACTGCATCTCCTGACGATGATCCACTGCCTTGTGGATTAGACCTTCAGGTCAAAGGCTCCGGTTGTGGCCTCTTCAGAAAATCACCTGTTTCAGTTTGGGCACTGCAGTATCACAGCCCTCACACAAATCGAATGAGATTTGTGTGTCGCATATATATCTGGTGCTCCTTTGTTCCAATATTTATGTGTTTAAATAAATAATTGAATAAAAGATCGCTGACAAGCTTTCAAGTTGATTTATTAGTATCCAGTGTATCGTGTGGTCATTAATCTTTCCTGTTATGTCTTCACCGGAATAATTTTAAACTATTCAAGGTCTTGATTTCTTAGTCGCAGAAACACAAGATGGTTGTATTTCTGATATTTAGTACCCATCACATGATTCTATTTGATCTCAAAAGCTTGGCAGAGTAATTATCACTTACAATAACTTCATTTAATACTAAACAGATATAACTGGGAATGCATTCTGTATCTTAGTTTTTTTAAAGAACTTACGGGGACTTCAAATTTCTAAAGATCATCCATTTGCAAGAATAGATTAGGTTAAACTCACTCTCAATTAACGACTTGTTTAAATTGGGTATCAATGGTGAAATTTTAAGAATTCTACTTGATGAAATAGCTAGTGCATAGATTTGCACCCGTTTATAAGAGATTCGATTATAAATGTTACTATATTATCCACTTACTTTTGTGACCTTCTGAAGACCAAAATTGAGAACTTGAGCGATATAATGAAAAACGAATCAAACAATGTTTCGTGTTCTCTACACTGGGTTCAATGTATTAAAAATGAGCCTGATCACTTTAGTTCACTTGATATTCATTGCACAATTGTTTCTTTGCTTGGTACTGGTTATTGATTTGTTGTACTATTTATATTCACATGTAAAACTTCGTTATAATAGTTTGCAGTTTCAGTCTTCATATTAATTTTATCCTTTTAACTAATTTTTCTACTGTACCTCTAGATACTAGCTCAGAGAATACGTGGACAAGTTTTGTCATTATCCCTTCAAATGTATGGTTGTCGTGTTATACAAAAAGCTGTTGAATCTGTTCCATTAGAAATGCAAATATCAATTGTTAAAGAATTAGATGGATGTGTAATCAAATGTGTAAAAGATCAAAATGGAAATCATGTTGTACAGAAATGTGTAGAAAATGTCCCTCCAGAACATTTACAGTTTATTGTAGATGCTTTTAAGGATCATGTAAGTAGTTTGTGAATAAATTTTTGTAAGGTCTTCAGCTCTTTAAAGAAATGTCAAATCGTTTATTTGTATTGTTTCAATATTTAAAATTGAGAACAGTATAACCAGTTGACCTGTAGCTACTCAGATTGTTTGCATTTTTTTTTTTAAAAGAAAGAAGTTGACTCCTGACATTTTATTCAAAGTAAATATTTTTCATTATCCTTATTCGTTGCACCAATTTTCCATACTCTGGTGACCACACACAAAAGGCATTGTTATACATCATAATTCCTTTGTAGTGAACAAAACACTAGTTGGGGACAATCGAATGTATTTAAGCACAAATTACAGACTATCTCACTAAATTCTGATAACCATACAGGAAGCAGTTAATTTGCAAAATAACAAACTGTTTCAATCTCCACTGTTCCTTCTGTAAATATCAGTTCGTCTTCTCTAATTCCATTGTTCATGCATTCTCGTACCAATTGCACTTCATTTCAGTTCTTTCCTCATCGGTCTTCTGCCCAAAAAAACATTCTATGTCTGATCATCACCATATACTACTCATATGGATATAAGTAGACCACACTACACGTTTTCCTAACCTAATGGGTCATTAATGACAACAACCTAATTGGTCACTTGACACTACTTTTAAAAAGAATGGGTGGAAAAATTCCATTGAAATCATAAACCAATCAATATAAGACTACTATAGATCGTTTCATGATCTCAATGAAATTCAACGAACTTCCACAATTTTAAACTGAAAATGAATTATTGTCTTGATTAAAGCCTTCTGTTTGTTAGGGAATTTATAACATCAGAACATGTAGGTTACATCATTTGTTGGGAAGTTACTGATACAATTGCAAACTTCTTCATTCATGGCACCGTCAATATTATGTCCAACTTTTAAATTTCTGAATAACATTGTACAAGAAATCGATCTAGTCTTGTGACTTCATTCAAATAAAATGAACAATTACTTTAATTGAATTCCATAATACAATCAACCATGCAGTGTGTTAGCGGGATATGTATTAGATTAAGGTGCGTTTGGTGTAGGAGTGTTGGGGTACGCTGATTGGCTATTTCTTAACCAATCACCGCTAATGAATACTTGGAAAAGATTGTGGAACCTTTTCACGTAGAAACTAAATATACTAACGTTTTTCTTATTGTGATTTCTACTTCCATTCAACCTTTTTATTTGGAATATAATTACGTTCCTGTTAAACCTTGTTGTGATTTGGAGACTTATCGGGTGAAGTAGTGTCGAAGAATACTAAGCAATAGAAGTAGCTGGGTCGTACTAAGGGAAATTATAACACAGTGCAAACTCGGTCTTAGTAAGGATAAATGCTTACCTTATGTCGTTTGAATGCCAGCGTATATGTAGTTCTAATAGCTTAGAATCTTCATGTTAAATGTCAATGCAGTTCAAAAGTGTATTGTAATGTTTTTTCCCCGCACCTTTCACTCAGTCTTCTGGATAATTTTTACGCTTGACTAGTAGGTGTTATGTGTATTTAATACGCGTGTTTCTTAATTGTATTTATTTAAAATATAGTCCAGCATATTAGCACCTGCCATTCAACCTTGTAAAGTGTAGTCTCCTTCATGGAAGTGGCAGCCTAGTTGAGAGTAAAAAAATAACTAGCTTTGTTACTAGATTCCCAGTAACACTAAACAAAGCATCAGTGCTCGAAGTCACTAACTTCTAGTCTGAGCCATGTTAGTAGATGCAGACTACTTGGTTGGGGTCCGTGTGACTATCGTAACCAATGGTTGGAGACTGTGGGTAACATGGCTCAGAATCGATCATAATGGCGCAGGTGTATACACTAATTGTTTTCCCTTAAACTTCTTTCTACGAATTATTTCTTCTTGTATTATATCCTTACATGCTACCTTTCTTCTATGCATTAATACCATTAAAGTGATTACTTCTGTGAATTTGGTGTTCATCTTGTTCTAATGAGTGAGGTGTGGCAGTTTGGACCGATGCATATATATGCCTGGTCCTACGTTGTAGCTGACTGACTGAACTAACTGTTTTGCATCATAAATTACTTTTAAAAAAAATTCAACCTTAAATATAATTCTGCACTTTTTGTCACTGATTAACATAATTTAATGTAGTTTATTATTTGGATAGAGTATTAGATAGACAAAGATTATCAGAACTATTTGACATATTAGGCAATACATTTCGAACAATCTGATCATATATATATATATATATATATATATATATATATATATATATATACTCGTTAATATATCTTCCTCTTTCTATTACATTATCCAAATTTATCAAAGGGTCTATGTTATAACTGGCCGATGTGAACGCTATATTCGCTTTCCTAAGCTATTCTGATAACCCCAGGCTAGAACTATTCAACGACTTGAACACCAGGGAGAAGACTCGAGTATGAGAGAAATACTTTACTACAGGGTTCATTCATGTACAGAAAATACAGGGGTTTTATAGTAGTTAAGAGACCTTGAGTTTCCATAGTAGCAGTATGTTAAACAGCCAATCAGGATCTCGTTATTTTAGTAGCACAGCTTCTAACTAATCGCTGATTGGTTGAGGCTCTGTCAGAGTTCTCTGTAAGCCGACTTAACACCTCCCCTTTTTTTGAAAATTCGGGATAGGTATCCAAACTGCATTTGCCGACTTCATCCTCCCCCACGAAACAATGTTGGGTCCCCAACTTCAGACATACTGGCGTTGTTGCAGATTGAGTTTATGGGACGATCTAATAATTCCAACTTTTCTATCCAATCAAGCCCCAATAAGTCGAGTGATGGCCGTTCTGTCAAAAATATTACTCCCTTCTTTGTAAGCTCTGCGACTGTGATTTTACAGTGAACCTCACCAGCAATGTTTATAATCCCCCCAGATGCGCCGTGTGCTGATTGATAGGTTGAAAATATTCTCGGCCTCTCAATTCTCTCTGACGTCCTCCTGCTTATAAGCGTTATATCGGAGGCTGTGTCTAGCTGTAAGCGGGCATCGTACCCGTTAATCTTGAGGGAAACATACTTTCTACGATTATGGGAGCCGATTCTGTTAGCAGCTACCGTCACCTTGGCTGTGCGTGGCTTGAATCTTTTAGAATAAACTTTAGGTTGACGGCGTTTTCGGGTTTTGCAATGACTTTCTTTGTGTCCTTTCCTGGAACACGTAGTACAACGATGACTTTTAAACGGACAAAACTTTTTGAAATGCCAACCTCCACATAACCAGCATGGGGATGATGGTTTACCACTGTCATTTCGATAATTCTGTATGCTGGAACCTTGCGCGACTTTTCTCTCAACAGCATTAACGTGGGGGAACTGGTTAGTGCTTTCTACCATCGAGGTTTCGTGCTTCAAATTCACTAACGTGTGACATTCATCAGTTACTTCCTGCAGGGACATGTTGGGACAATGCTCAAGTTTGCTTAGGATTCTCGTTCGGATGTCAGCATCCTCAGGTGAACGCAGGCTACAGACAAATACTAAGCATTTAAACTGGTCTTCAGACATGGAAGACAATTTGAACCTCTCGCATTCTCGGTTCGCAATACCTGCATGTTTCACCCAGTCATCTCCTGATTCTTTCGTTATCTTCAAGCACTGCTAACAGATATTAAATAGAGACGACTGTTCTCCAAAGATTTGAGACAGGGTTTGAATTGTTTCATCAAAACTAAAGTCTCGTGGATTCTTCGGAAGAATAAAGTTACTATAGCGTTCATGTTCTGTTGTCCCAAGCTTTCTTAGAAGTATTCTGACTTTTGAAGCGTCATCCAGTCTGCAGAGATCAATACGGAACAAATCTTCATACTTCTTAAACCAAGAGTTAAAAGTAACATCTGCTGCACCATCAAAATTAAATTCATGGATTGCATTAATAACTGAGTCAGTATGAGATACTTGAAATTCACCAGCAGAAGAGTTTTGTTGAGACATACACAATTTCTGCATAAGGGCTTCCATGACTCTGATTTGAGACTTTTCAAACCGTTTTTCTTGACGCTCCATATAAGCTTCAAATTGCTCTAAAGAAATACTCATTGTCATTTTTTCTCGTCGCCACTGATATGTCTTGTTAGATTGTAGTTTTTCCCCGTCACCACTGTTATATTTCGTTAGTTAAACGCTATATTCAGATCCTAAGCTATTCTGATAACCCCAGGCTAGAACTATTCAACGACTTGAACACCAGGGAGAAGACTCGAGTATGAGAGAAATACTTTACTACAGGGTTCATTCATGTACAGAAAATACAGGGGTTTTATAGTAGTTAAGAGACCTTGAGTTTCCATAGTAGCAGTATGTTAAACAGCCAATCAGGATCTCGTTATTTTAGTAGCACAACTTCTAACTAATCGCTGATTGGTTGGGGCTCTTTATGAGCCTCTGTCAGAGTTCTTTGTAAGCCGACTTAACAGTCTAATTGCTTTTAATTTCTAAAAATAAGCTTATTTTATTTCACTGCATTGCTTGCTGTATATTAACCAACGTCGACGTTTGTGGATGTGTTTCTTTTTCCATAGGTATATTCCATATCTACTCATTCGTATGGTTGTCGTGTTATTCAACGTATATTAGAGCATTGTACACCTGAACAAACTACTCCAATTCTTTCTGAGTTACACCAACACACTGATGCGCTTGTTAAAGATCAGTATGGAAATTATGTGATTCAAGTAGGTTATTTTATTTATATAAACACATAAATATTGGTACAAAGGGGCACCAGATATATATGCGACACACGAAATTGTAATTTTATTTAATTGTGTGAAGGCTGTGATACTGTCCAGGTGCTAAGACCGAAGCAGGTGGTTTTCTTAAGGAGCCACACCTGGAGCCTTTGACCTAAAGGTCTGATCCACGAGACAATGGAGCATCATGGGTAGATGCAGTTCCATGGTAGTCGGTGATCAATAATTAGTGCATACGCCATTTGTTCCTTCAGGATACTGCAGCCCATGTGCACCATTGGTTTGGAATCAGGGATTTCCAACGCTCATTGTTGGACTTTCTCTGTCCACCAACCCGGTCAAAGAACTAGACATTCATCCTCTCAATTTCGTAAACAGCAGTAATGCGACGAGAAAACAAAGGGTAGAACTTCCCTTGTGGAGGCTATGTACGCGTGGTCATGTGAAAGAATTTGGAGAGGGAGAGCAGACTTTCCCCACTCTCGGCCGTACCAGGGCATTGGGGGCCAAATGGATGATGAAAAGTGTGTGCTTAATATGATATACTGTTTCTTATGTATGAAGTCATGTGATATAATTAAGAACACTGATTTTTTTATAGTGAGATTTTCTGAGATTTTCTATATTATTCACAGAAGTTTTGTTTTAATATAGTAAACAAGTATCTACTTTTTATTTGGACTTCCATAATCGGAGTTTATTTATAATACAACCTTTCTATAAGTTTCACATCGTAATCGGGCTAAGCTACCATGATCGAACTTTTAGAATTATGCGATTCAGTTGATATAGGTTATTGATATTTCTAAAAGAGAGAGCGCCCAATATATATCTCGTTTTAAATTCATATGTTTATTTTTTCACACATACCTAATTTTAAATACACTATTCCTCTTTCTTTTTTCTAGCATGTTCTTGAACATGGAAAGACGGAAGATAAGAGCCGAATTGTAGAACACATCAAAGGTCGTGTAGCTAAATTGAGTGTGCACAAGTTTGCTAGTAATGTTGTAGAAAAAGCTGTTGCAAACGCTTCACGTGTTGAACGTCAATTACTTATTAATGAAATACTTGAAGAAACTGTGTTAACTGAAAATCAAATTGTACAAAATGGACAAAATCAATCTAGAGAATTTCGAGTAGACGATAGTTTAAGTGAAAATGATTATGACGATGAAGATGATGAACCTAGAACAAGAAGTTCAGTTTTAGTTATGATGATGAAAGATCAATTTGCTAATTATGTTATTCAGAAAATGTTAGATGTTGCTGAACAACCAATAAGAAAAGAGCTTATGATTCAAATACGTCCACATTTAGGTATTTTACGTAAATATACTTATGGTAAACATATCATTAATAAGATGGAAAAATATTACATGAAAACAAATCAGTTACATTTAGCCGTTGGATTAAATTCTCCATCACCACCTCCATCTTTAGATCTTGTAAACGTTTCTTCAAACATCACTCAACCAAATTTAAATTCAACTATTCGTAGTTGTGGTAGTACACACAACAGTTCAGCTGCATCATTACTTCCACCATTATTAACTCCAACAGATATGGCTATTCGAGCTTCAAAGACAATTTCAGTAAATCGATCCACTCATTCACATCATTGTTATTCTAATCATATCTCTCATCAACATCATCATCAATCGTATTTATCTTCATTTTCACGTAATAATGGTTTACCATCACATCGAATCAAACATAAAGAGTCTAATAATAATAATAATTCAAATTCTCAGAAAGCATCAAATGAAGAAAAACAAAATAATTCTACATATATGTGTGATAGTACAAGTTCATCTAAAGAGACATTGGAAGGACATAGAAGTTTTGATGAAGAATTCTGTGGTAGTAATGGTGGTAGTGAAAAACATAATTCCGAATTAGAATCATCTCATCAAACATCAACTACAACAAATGAACCTTCCAATAAGAATTGTGATGATAAAAAAGGAAAAGTCAAATTATCAAATCCTGACAGCAGTACTAGTCATTTGTATGAAGGAGTTAATAATCCAACATCTACTACTAACGTTAAACTAAATGAATTGGATATAAATGATAAGTCCAGAAGTATTGATACTGAATTATTAACTAATGGTAATGATCATTAATATCATGTTGTTTATGCCGTTTTTTCCTCTTTTGCTGTCTGTTTATGTTCTTCTTCTTCTTCAATCTTTTTCTTTTTTAAAAAGTGTTATAATCATCATCCATTAAGAGGAGGTATTGCTTATTAGTAGTATATTCCATAATTTTTTTTTATAAAAAAAATCAAGCTTCAAATCTTTGTGTGCAATTGATATTTATCTTAAAAAGAGAAAGATTTCCTCTATCTAATCCATTTTGTTCTTCTTGCACAAATGAATTTATGTAGTAATCTCTCTTTACTTCTCTTTTTTTTTGTATTTTTTTAAAGTTACTCGGACCTTCATTGTTTCATATGTATATGTATGTATAAGCTTTGATTTATCTTGTTTTTTAATGCAAAGAAAATGTATGACCTCCTTGTAAAACGTAACTTTTTGTTGTAATCACGTAGTAAATGAATGAATGGGTCCAGGTTATATATATATATATATTCTAATGTTGCGATTCCTTTTTCTTTCATCATACCCCTAACCTATTGTCTAATTAATATATCATTACTTAACATGTTATATATACTACTGATATGACGGATTACTGCATTCACAGTGTACTTCAATTGATTTTTTTCTCCTTTCTCTTCTTGGTATATGTTGGTTTAATCAACTAAACTATCTTCTATACAGTATGAACGTCTTCTTCATCATCAGTGTTATTCAATCAATGTAATGTATCTTATTGTAAATCTGATTATTCAATTATGAATCTATCGTATACACTAATTCTATGTATTTATACACTTTTTTAAAAATTTATTCATATAATAATCTTCAGTTCATGTTAACCCTCCTCTCCTTTTCTTTTAGTTTCTAAGTAATCTCTTTCAATTGTGTATTTCTTTTTCTACAGTAGCTATGATTGTATTTAGTTATTTTGTAGCAAAAAAAACAAGTATCTGTTTAATCAAGCTTATCTTTGTATGTATACAATCTGTAAACCATTTTTATCTTTTTATTTGTTTGTTCCTTGAATGTGACAGTGTTGTTACTATGATTATTACCCCCCCCTCCCTACCAAGTTCTTGATACTTGTAATAATATGTATTTTTCACTGTTCTTTCACTATATAAAGAACAAATTTATTCGTCTTCACAAATACATGAATATATATATATATATATACTATTTATTCATTGTGTTATATATGTTACCTTTATTCATTCAGTCAGTCTTGGTGGATATAAGTATCTTCAATCTAATGAATGAGTTAATCTTTACTATCTATGTATTTGTCAAGTATATTATTTTCTTCCTTTGCACAAATGTTTATATTGATTAAAAGTTTTACATTTTATCACGTTAAAATAAGTTATCTAGTTAATTTCGTGTCATTTTATCGGTAGAAAGAAGCACCAAATAGAAATGTGCCACACAAGTCTCATTTGATTTGTGTGAGGGCTGTGATACTGCCCAAACTGAAGCGGGTGGTTTACTTAGGCGACCACACCCGGAGCCTTCAACCTAGAGGTCTCATGCACAAGGCAGTGGGTCATCGTCAGGAGATGCAGTCTCATGGTACCCGGTGACCAACGATTGATTCTTATTCCATTTGTTCCCTCAGGATACTGGTGCCCATGTGCACCATTGGTTAGGAATCAGGGTTTTCCAACTCCTCTAAGGTGAACTTTCCGTGTCCACCGATCTGGTTAGAGGGCCGTACATTCGCTTTTCCTCCTCTCAATTTCGTGAAGAACAGTAATGCCACGAGAAGGCAGTGAGTAGGATTTCTGTAGCAGAGGCCGTATACTCGTGGTCGTGTGAGAGCATTTCAAGAGGGAGGGTGACCCCTCCACACTCTCGGCCGTACGAGGGCATTTGATAAAAAACTATAACTAAATGTTCACAGTTAGACCTTTTGTTTTGACTTGACTTAGCCGTCGCCAATTGTTATGTCTTGATCAAGGTCGTCGCTAATTTGCTATGACCTTACAAATTAAACAAGGATGTAACTCGCGTGAATTATCCGCCAATAGAATATGACTTTTGCGACCTTAACACTGTGACAAACCAAGGACTTCTAATAAGTATAAGTAATCTTGCGTCCTTATTGGTCCCTCGTCCGCCTAGCCGTCCACTTGAGTCCAGAACATCAATAGCAGCCTCGGCAATATGAATCGTTTATTTCAAGCATACTTTGTTTATATACCAGACAGGCAGACCACATCACACCATAAAATAGAAAATAATATTTGTACAATATCAGGCCAAATGTGGCTGTAAGCGTGGGAGTCAATAATCAATAAACTGAGTATAACATAGGAACAGTAAATCATAAAATAATAATCAAAATGAAGCTTACAATAAGATGAATATAGATACTCTAGTTACTGAATAGTTATACAATAAGAATAATAGGTCCTGGGAGTTACCCGTACTTATGTCTTCGCTAGTATATAACACGTTTGTAAAATTATCGTAGATGCTTTGGTAGGTTTTTAACTTCGATATGTTTCGACGCGATACAATTCAATTGAATTTGAAGGGCGACAGAATCGTTTTTGTTTTGCTTACATATACCGTATTACTTGTAAGGCTAATTTCGGAGTAGTTATGTACCTTTATCGTTGACGACTATCGTGGTCTTTTAAAAGTTTTATGTGTGAGGTATATTTAGTCTCTGAGTAAAACTAATCAACGCTTTTCTCTGTTTAATTGTATTCAAAATTCCTTTCTGTTGTAACTTGTAGAAACTAAAAGCAGTTCAAAGTATTGGTTAAGGTTTAACAGAACTAATAGGGTTCCACTGATGTCTGTTACATATGTTGAGGTGTCAAAAATGACCAAGATGATAATCAGTAGTGATGTTATCCAGTTCAGATGTGGTTGTGTCAAGAAATAATGAGGTCAACTCAATGCAACTTTTCCTCTTAGTGAGGCTAGAAAATACTGGTGATTAGTTCAAGTGGTATCCAGTGACTTGTGACGAGTACTAGTCGTTTCGGAAAAATATTGAATATAGTTTACCAAATCACCGTCTAATGACATGCAGCAAATCGAAGAATCTTCTGAAAAAACTGAACTGTTCGGTTGATCTTACAAGATAAAGTATTCCGTCAGTTTGTCAGCTACAACGTAGGACCAGACACATTTATGCATCGTTCCAAGTTGACATACTCCATTAGCACAACAAAATGAACACGAAATTCATAGTAGTTAATTTAATGGTGGAAATATATAAAAGAAAGATTGTATATGAGGGTATAGTGCATAAAGTAAAAAAGGTATCAAGCAATTTTAATCTCATAATTTAATGGAAGACAGGGAGGAAGACCAAAGAACACATTAAACCGGAAATTGGAGGCATATTTCCAAAGAATGGATAGCATTTGGAATCAAGTGGAGCGTAGAGCCCAGGACAACGTAGGTTGCAGTTTGCTGGTAGGTGATCCGTGCTCCAGGAAAGGTAACAGGCAGATAAACAGTAATACAAGACAGACCACCAAAATAAAGATGGGTCACACAAATAAGATTATAAAGAGATAGAGGAATTAAGTAAGGTGATTATAATCAACGACAATGAATGAATTAAAGTAAATGAACGACATTAGTAAATACTATGAGAAACAGTTCAATAGAGAAATACAACTGGAAAACATCGTCATTGCTAAAGACGTTTATCTCACTTTAATGAGGAATGCAAAATAAAACTACGACTGACTTTTATCCCCAACTAGGAAGCGGTGATGGATATTCCGCCACAGCTCTCATACTCCGTGACCATATCATAAATTGGTCACCTTTCCGTCTTTTCCACCATGTCCCAGAATCGATAGATAAAAAACAATAGAGGAGTTATTAGGATGATATTCATTACATATGTATCGAGATACACTTAAACACAATGTGCTTTATAAACGACAGAGATCTAAGAAAATAATCAGTATTATAAATTAGATACTTGACATCATCCTATATTGTCTGAAAGATAGTTCAAAATTACAGAGGTGACATTTACGTACGAAGAAATTAGGAATTCTTCAGAAATAAAGTACCTCATAGTTTTGACCAATCGAAACACACACAAAATTGAAGAATGGAATGAATTTCTATTATTTCAATGGTTTTTCATCATATATCAACTTAGATAAGTAAATTTACTATAAATATACTTATTTATCATCTTGATGATTCAAGACGAATTCAATTTAGCATAGCCCTCAAAGTCCTGGTACAGCTGAGGGCGGGGACAGTCCTCTCGACATACTCTCACATAGCCGCGCGTACAGACATTGCTAGGGAAGTCCTATTCACTGCCTTTTCACGGCGGGGTTGAAAGGCCGAAAAGTAAGTGTTCGGTGCTTTAACCAGGTTAGTGGATGTGGAGGATCCACCTAATGAGGTTAGAAAACCCTGATTTCAAACCAATGATGAACACTGGCTCCAGGATCCTAAGAGAACAAATAGAGAATGCTTATGTGTATAACATAAAATAAATAATTTGGCATTAAGACACACTGGGAGATGTAGCACTCGATATTAGATCATTCAGTTAATAGTAAGCTTAATGAGAGACAAACGTTAACAAGGTGGTTTGATTTTAATCTAATTTGATCCGTAACAAATTAACCAGGAGGAATGAATGTTATTGACATAACTACGTAGGAGGTTTAAGTCAGGTAGGGAAGTAAAACTCTTTATCAGAACGGCAAATTACGTTTATACAATTTGTAAAAGGAACGTTTTTTTTATTTACAATATAGTCAGAAAACTAAAACATTTCATTTAACGTTTGATAAAATTATCATGAAGCTCCCCTCTCTGACGATTACTAGCCTTACGATGAATACCTTCTTCTAATGTAGTCATATCAACATGTTTGTTTTTTAAATGACTAATAAATGATGGTCCATGCGAAAATTTCGAAGCTAATTCTTTTTCTTCTTCAATCTTTTTCATTGTATAATGAGTAGTGGAACGATGTAAACGTTCTTTTTCATGTTCTTTTGCATCCGAAATCATTTGAGCTCGTTTAGCTTCAATTTCTTCTTTAGATAACTTTTGTTGATTTGATGATGATTTATGATGGTTGGATCTTTCTGAACTGGATAACATTGGTTGATTACGTTCTGAATATTGTTTTCGGTTTACATCTGAATACTTTTGATTTGAACGTGCATGTTCCTGATCATAAGAACTTGAAGATTGTTTTTGAATAGTAGAAGATGATTCCTTATTACATTTATCTATAGATTTCTGTGAGTTAGCCTCTTCCAATTCATTAGATTGATGAATAATTTTAATGAACTTATTCAGTAATTCATCATCTGAACTAGCTTGATCTGATTCATCGGAACTTTTATGCCGACGTTTATGTTTTGAATGTTTTTTACTTTTACGTTTTTCTTTGCGTAATTTCTGCTCCGTTAGCTATTAAAAAAATAATTATCAAATGATTGAATAAATCTTACAAGTCTTCGAAGTTTCCTAACTTTAGCTGTATTCTGTAGAAGTTCCATTCGTTTTTCTGCTTCTCTTTGCCTATTAATTAAATGAGTAGGATATCTCAATATAATTTCAATAGTTACTTCATAATTGTCAGAGGATCTTCACGAAACTTAGCTTCCATATCAAATCTAGCAAGTCGCTGAGCAGGTGATTCTTCATATTCTAAATGAATTGAAAAATCCAATTGTTTTTTTTCGTTTACCTTTGCCAATTTCTTGAATTTGGTTTAAGCTTTGAACTTGTTTCCCTAACAAAAATGCTTCAGGATCATCTTTTGGCTTCTCGTACATCCATGAATTCTCATTTGTACTCCTAGTAATGGGGAAAAAAGATGAATTTTATTTAGATGTACAAGTTTACTTTTTCTCTGCTAGAAGAGCAGCAATTTTCATACGTTCTTCAGGAGCCTAAAACAATATTAGAAGCAAGATAGATTTTATTGCTAAAATAACTTATAGTAAAATCATACAATTATTATACACTGAAAAATGTAAGTTTGCATAAGCCAATTTTGTGAGGCGCATATATATCTGGTGCTTTTTTGTACCAATATTTGTGTTTAAATAATAAATAAATTTCATTAGATGATAATCTACAAGAGCTGACGAGACCAATTGAAATACGTGAAGCAGTGCACGCACTCAAATGCTTCGCTATACATCATTTGTTTAGTCATTGACGTAGATCAGTCTTAAGCCCCCAAATGCCCTGGTACGGAGAAGAGTGGGGAGAGTCCACTCACCCTCTCGAAATGCTTTCAAATGGCCACACGTATATAGCCTCTGACAGGGAAGTCCTACTCACTGCCTTCTCGCACCGCGGGTGTTGTTTACGAAATTGAGAGGACGAGAAGCGAAGGTCCGGTGCTTAAACCAGGTCAGTGGATAAGTAAGGTTAACCTAGTGGGGTTAGAAAACCCTAATCTCAAACCAATGGTGCAAATGGGCTCCGGGATCCTGAGGGAACAAATGGCGTGTAAACCCATTCTTGGCCACTGTTTATGATGGGGCCGCATCTCTTATCGTCGCTTTATTACCTTGTGGATTTTTCGTGGTTTGTTGATCTGACTTCAGTTTGATTGAATGATGAAGTTAATAAGATAAACATGCTACCAATCCTCGTATACAATTATCGATTTAATTTGCGTTAGAGTATAACGGAGTAAGTCAAACACGAGAATGAATTTTGGATACGTATACTTCACACACTTAATAATCCCGACTCCGTTTGAGCAAGTGTGACTCAATATTTATGACTAGACAAAAGTAACCTGAAAACATGATGAATGAGGTAACCGATACATATATATACGCTCATATAGAAATAGTCAGGGTTAATAAGCGGATAATTGACAAGGTCAAAATGTGACTCAAAAATAAATAAATTGGTCTATCCGGAAGCTAGCGTTACCCATGTGGGTTTGGCATCGTGCTAGACACTACAGATAAGACCTCTGGGCCAAAGCCTAGAGGATTGGACCCCTAATAAACCACCTGTTTGGGTTTGAGCACCTGGAGGGTATCCCAGTTCCCAAGCAAGATGAGTATTAACTACGCTGTGTGGGGCATATATATTCTGTTGCGTTTTTGCATAAATATCTATGTTTAAATAAGTAAATAAATTTAAGTGGATAAGCGAACCTCCTAGTTAAAGATTAACCCCTGAAGGACTAGACAAAGATAATATATCTAAAAGAATTCCCATGACAAACTTAACGGGAAATAGGAAAGTCGGTAGCGCCGACGAACACTATTTGAAGTTGATGGTTCGTCACAACCTGTTAGTGGGATATAGATTGGATTAAGCATGTTTTATGCATGATGGTGTTGCTGCGCGCCGATTGGTTAATTTTTAAACCGATCAGCCTGGGCATATTATTGCAGAAAAATCTATAAGCTTCTTATGTATATACTATAAATATATGAACGTTATTCAAACTAGGGATTGCTGTTCACTTATCATTATTATTTTGAATACAATTTCATTCCTGTTCAACGTGTTCAGATTTTGGGGTCTTGTCGAGTGTTATCATATAAGAATACTAAGCAATAGGAATAGCTGGGTCGTTTATATAACAAAAACACAATTATAACAGTGGTGACGAGGAAAAAGGAAAATTCATTCAAAATGCCTATATCAGATGACCAGCTCAGCCGAATACTACAACAACAGCAAGCACAACTTGATGCACAAATGCGGTTGTTGGAGACTCTGATGCAACAGTTTAGAATCAAAAACTCGAGTTCACATGCTGTTTCAAGTACTTCTTGTGATGCAGTTGCTAGCAGCATCCCAGAATTCATCTATGATCCCAAAAGTGGAAATACCTTTCTCACTTGGTTCAAGCGTTGGGAAGATACATTTAGAATAGAATTCTGTCAACAAGATGAAGCATGTAAGACTCGGTTGTTGATGCGTAAGTTGGGAAGCAATGAACATGCACGTTATGCTGACCATATATTGCCAAAGTTACCTCGAGAGCTCAGTTTCGGGGAGACAGTATCTCAGTTGTCAGAGATATTCGGTGAATCTTCTTCGTTGTTTAGTATTCGATATCAGTGTCTGAATTTGGTGAAACGTGAAGCCGATGAATATGGTGCTCTAGCAGACGTCGTCAACAGAGAGTGTGAACGGTTCAAGTTACGCTCGTTGACAGATCAATTTAAATGCCTTGTATTCATCAAAGCTCTGCAGTCACCACAAGATGCTGAAATTAGAACCAGACTTCTAACTTGTTTGGATCAAGACCCAAACGTCACATTCAAGACATTGACAGATGAGTGTAAACGACTACAAAACATCAGATACGACAATCAGTTAATTGAACAGGTAAATTCTAATTTAACCTGCAGTAGTGTAAATGCTATGACTAGGTTAAAAAGTCAGAAGTCGAATAAAACTCATAACAAACCAACGGATGGTAAGCAGAGATGGATAGTGGCTAGCAGTGGAATCCAGGACGCGCGTTTCGTCCTATTTGGGACTCGTCAGCTGGATGTACCTGCATCTCAGAGTTGATGTTCACTCTGGGACTCGAACCCAGTACCCTCGCTTCAAACGCCATCGCGTTATCCACTCGGCCACTGAGTCCTGATAGCCACTTGCTTGTGCGATGGGGTGAAGTTTGAATTCACTTAGTATTGTTTGTTTGGATCTTCCCATCGATGTGTTTAGGACTGCAACTGGTCAGTCTCTAATTGGCATATGTGCATACTGTGCGTATTGCCTCGATATACCTTAATTCACAAGCATGGTAAGCAGAGATGGATAGTGGCTAGCAGTGGAATCCAGGACGCGCGTTTCGTCCTATTTGGGACTCGTCAGCTGGATGTACCTGCATCTCAGAGTTGATGTTCACTCTGGGACTCGAACCCAGTACCCTCGCTTCAAACGCCATCGCGTTATCCACTCGGCCACTGAGTCCTGATAGCCACTTGCTTGTGCGATGGGGTGAAGTTTGAATTCACTTAGTATTGTTTGTTTGGATATTCCCATCGATGTGTTTAGGACTGCAACTGGTCAGTCTCTAATTGGCATATGTGCATACTGTGCGTATTGCCTCGATATACCTTAATTCACAAGCATGGTAAGCAGAGATGGATAACGCGATGGCGTTTGAAGCGAGGGTACTGGGTTCGAGTCCCAGAGTGAACATCAACTCTGAGATGCAGGTACATCCAGCTGACGAGTCCCAAATAGGACGAAACGCGCGTCCTGGATTCCACTGCTAGCCACTATCCATCTCTGCTTACCATGCTTGTGAATTAAGGTATATCGAGGCAATACGCACAGTATGCACATATGCCAATTAGAGACTGACCAGTTGCAGTCCTAAACACATCGATGGGAAGATCCAAACAAACAATACTAAGTGAATTCAAACCAACGGATGCCTGTTGGTTATGCGGCGATTGGCATTATGTACGGTTCTGTCCATTTAAGAAGCATAAATGTCAGGTGTGCAATAGACGTGGACATAAAGAAGGCCATTGTCCACCGAATCATACGTCCCAGCCCAAGAAGAAGTATAAACGACTTTCACGTGTGGTGAAATCAGCTGAGTCTAAATCTCTTTCTCTGGTAGCAGCTTTTCAAACAGACTATGACATTCGGAGAAAGTATGTTACGATCCAGATTAATGGTATAGCGGCTCGTCTTCAAATTGACACAGCATCCGATATTACTCTAGTGTCTAGAGAGACGTATAACTTGCTGGGAAAACCGCTAGTGAAGCCATCCAAGAAAACGGCTAAAAACGCATCTGGAGGTGTACTGAAACTACTTGGTGATTTACAGTGTGAATTTTCCTTCAATGGAATAACTGTAAAGGGGTATGTTATCTAACAGAACGACCGAACCTTGATCTACTTGGTCTAGATATGTTAGAAAAGCTTGGATTAATGGATATACCCATCAACAGCGTGTGTAACGTGTCGTGTCCATCATTAGACACCACCTCATATGCAAAAAAGACGGGTAAAAAGGTTCCAGAAATACGGAGTGTAGCAGCAGCGGCAATTCGAAACACTCAAGTGTCGTCAGATGAAGTCAGAAAAGACTTTTCAGAATTTTGTCAGCAGAACGGAATCAAGCACACCAGAACACCTCCATTCCATCCGCAATCGAATGGTCAGGTAGAACGTTTTGTTGGTACGTTCAAAAATGCTCTAAAAAATCAAGAGGGGAGGGGGACACCGAAGAGATCTTAGAGAGGTTCTTGTTTATACACTGTTCGACACCGAACCCTCAGACAACAAATGGGGTCTCTCCAGCGGAAGCGTTACTTGGCGGAAAAGTACGTACACATTTTGACAGCATTCGTCCGACTCCAGCTCTTAAGCCGCAAAGAAACGTGATGATGGAGAAACAGTACAATAGTCATCATGGGGCACAAAAACGATTGTTCAGTGTGAGTCAAAAGGTACTTGTTGTGGACTATCGAGGAAAACATCCTACATGGATAGCTGGTCGGATCGTGCAAAAGGAAGGAAATGTGGTTTACGAGGTGTCCGTTGGTTCAGAAATCTGGGTGCGTCATGCTAACCGACTGAAATCAACCTCGATTTCCAACAACGAAACGCAGCATAGATTACCTCTTGATGTTCTGCTAGACACCTTTGAGATCAAAACACCTGAAACAGACAGGACAGTCAAGGTGCAAACGAAGGACGATACAACGTCCTTATTACCTAGAAGGTGGACTAACCGGAAGCACAAACCAGTAAAGCGGTTGCAGTTGTCCCTAACACCAGATCCTACGAATCTGCTTAAGGGGGAGGTGTTAGTGGGATATAGATTGGATTAAGCATGTTTTATGCATGATGGTGTTGCTGCGCGCCGATTGGTTAATTTTTAAACCGATCAGCCTGGGCATATTATTGCAGAAAAATCTATAAGCTTCTTATGTATATACTATAAATATATGAACGTTATTCAAACTAGGGATTGCTGTTCACTTATCATTATTATTTTGAATACAATTTGATTCCTGTTCAAAGTGTTCTTGTCGAGTGTCATTGTATAAGAATACTAAGCAATAGGAATAGCTGAGTCATTTATTAGCAAAAATACAATTATAACACAACCATTGACTCGACCAACAGTGTTCGAATAGAAAAATCCAACGACGTTTATGCTGCTCTTTGAAACGCCTTTCTATGATTAACACTGCTATAGTAGATTTTCATCAACTGAACCGAACGCTGCTCTCATGTCGAGAAATGCCACTACTGTGAGGTGATAATGAGTGTGTGCATGCTCCAGAACCTGAGAAAGGGTTGATATCTGATCAATACATCCACGTCCAGGCTTGAAACTAATCTGGTTATTTTGAGCCCAAAGCCACGAACCTTAATTAGGCGTCAGCTGATTATTGAGGTTAATATTTTAGATAAAATGTTGATTAAACCGATTTCTCTGTTTTATTTTTTTAAGATAATTTCTGTCCTTATTTATAGACTGAAGTGACCTGCGACTGAGACCGGTCAAGTGGGATTAAGTCCAGATCCAAGATTCAAGCTACTATCTTGGTTAATCTAGCTGCTAGAACTAGATTACGAATCCTACGCATCTCTGAGGCTGATTTTTCAGGGTTAATTGCTCTCTTTCTCTTTTCATGTTAGTTATAACCCTTTCAGTTTTATTAAAAGTCGGGGAGCTTATGTCGATCTTTGATTCAGGATATTCGGGTATATCAAAGTAGCTTGGGACCAGTAGAACTATTAGAAGAAATTTTCCACTCATCATTGCAGCTTTTTTAATTAGTCATACGCAACGTAGGACCTGGGATCAGTCAGTCAGTTACAACGTAGGACCAGGCGCATATATGCATTGGTCCATGTTTCCATTCCTCACTCACTGAGATTTCGTCAGACACCAACCGATTAGGGGTGATCACACTTGGGATATGTGTACATCGATTCGATTTTCTATACTTCATCAACACAGCAAGATGAAACATTCGGAGCGAATTTAATAGTAGAGATAGTAGTAGTATACGTACCACTAGAGAAGGTTATGCAACGAAATTTTAAATTAATGGAATTAAAAAAATTATAAGGATTTTAGAAACATAGGGTCTAAGGAAAGCTGAAGAGTGAATCTACCTGCGCGATTGTGAAAAATTTTGAGCCATATCACATAAAGTCTCTCACCATTGGTTACGAAAATCACGTGGAACTTAACCAGGTAGTAGGCACCTACTATATAGCTCATTCCGACAGTCTGCTTCATTGTGCACAAGTACTATCTTGGTTTTGCCGCCTCTAGCTTTCTTTCGACTTATTTTTACACCAGCCAAAGTCTTTTATCTTTATTATTTTCCGAGCCAGATGGGATGAGACTTCGTCTCAAACGCCCTGATACGGCCAAGAATGAGGAGGACCATAGACTGTGAACAATGATGATGAACATGATGATTACGCTCCTCCTTATGGTGACTGAAAAGAATGTCGGGCTATTAATGGATTGTAGACCTAGAAAAGTGACTGTACAGTCCAAGATACAATTACTCGACGCCAGTCAAAAAACAGTTTTTCAACAAAAAGCTGATGTGTCAACTCCACTTTAAAACTTCCTCGCCGGTGACAGGAATCCGTAGGGAAAAGTGAGGTGTGATTATTTATGAATGGCAGCATCACTGGATATGTTGAACATAAGAGAATAATACTTGGGTATAGAGTGCATTAAATGATTACTTTATTTAGGGTTTCTCAGAGGTAACCCTCATCCGAGAATGACCATGAATTCGCAAGCCTTAGTACATAACTAGTAGCATGTTTGAGAGACAACTGAAAATTTTCAGTTGCGTTCTGTGTCATATTAAACAAGCAATTCACCATTTCACACAGTGTTCTTGAACAATGGTTACTTTTTGCTCATTCGGTTATCTGTGATGACTGTTTCGATTTCAAGAAATTAATAACCTACTGAAATACTATCATATTCTCAAAGTTAATGGTTTTAAAAAATCACTGTACGTAACCTCAAAAATTAGATGACTTACAAGATCCTTCAAATTCATATTGCAAGTGGACTAAATAACCCGCTTTATCCGAATCAGGAGTAGGACCAGGATAAAAAACTGAAAAATAAGAATGACTAAAATATATACCTAAGAAAGTTTTTTCCCAATATAAATATAGGCAACAACCCATAAGTAGATTAACTTATGTACAAATTAACAATTATCAGAACGACTTGAGAATAAAAGTGAATTAGACGAGAGGGAAATCATAGGATTTTAAGATGCAGATGGTGTGTATTGTTAAGTGTCTAGCACTACTTTTTGATTTTTTTAACTTCATGAACTTATTTCCAACCTCATCGAGGAGCAAGAACCTCCTTAGATGATGCAAAACAACTTCCTGAATTTATGGGTTCGTAAAGCAGTACGTCTGTAGTTAGTCTATTCCAGGCATGTTTGTATACGAGCTAACATAACATATAGAAATGGGGTATGTTTACAGGCACGTAACATAATTCAATTAACTCAATCAATGATGGTTTAAGACCGAATTAGCCACTCCATTGACTGATCAACTACAAGGAGGCAAGGGCACAAGGATGTGAATTTGTAATTACTTGTTTGAATGCTACGTCCAGTAATTTTTTTGTCATAGGATATGACAGATTGTAATTTTGTGAGACATCCATGACTTTTCATATAGATAAATATGTATCACATGTAACAGATGATGTAGGATCAAAAATTTGTTCACTCGACAAATACAGGTTCATATAGACGACTGAGTCAACTTTTTGGGAAATTTTGGGATATTATCACCTGGCCTCAAAAGCAGATGGGGTAAGACCCAACATATTTAAGATCTCACTGAAAATTCAAGTCACTTTTTTCCTTATACTTCTTTTCTCAAGATTCTCCCATGCACACCAACTTGCACATACACATACAAGACGCGTAATGCTGCAGACCCGTTAGTTACAGGAAAAAGTCAACGGAATTTATCTCAAGCCTACAAAAATTTCGGTCGACTGTAGGAGAAAATGGACTGGTGTATTGTATTGATTATTCAACTGCTTTGCCTTGTATTTGTAAACTGTTAGGAATTGTATATCAGTTTTGATGGGCTAATAGCAAACAATACCATGGTGTTAAACATCGGAATAAACGTAATAATCAGAAAGTATCCCAAGATTAAACTAACTAGCAATTCACTAAAGCAGTTGAAAGCTAGCAGGAAACTACTTCTCGGACTTGAGATAAGCGCGACAACTTGGTAAATATGGGAATAATGTTAAGCTGAGTACGAATTCACCAAACATGTTAAGACCGAGGAGGAACAGGTAAAATTAAATCCAAACTGGTGTAAAAAGATACCCGGAAAATCCCGCTTTTTGTCTGGTCAGGAACGGTAATTTTTCTAGTCCCGTACACATATATCTATACATTCAGTAGCTACTGTTGTCTAGACTACAGTAGAGTATGTTTATTATACAATATGTCAGGTAAAAAGCTTGAACAACAGGGCAACAAACTACGCAATAATTGTGAACTAAGAGTACTTTGTAAAAATTCGGTAATTAAACTCCTGTCTACCTTGCAACATGTTACGCAACTTCGGCAAAAACTCACAGTAGCACACAGTTTGAACTTTCTGGGGCTCGAAAAATATACAATATTTATGATACTCAAAGTTACAAAGCTTGATCGTTGCTTGGTAGACTAAAGGAATCGCTTGTCCTTTGATATCTTAGAAAGAGTGTAAGAACAACGTTCTTGAAGATATTGAAATATGACTTGTTCAATATTTTTTTTGAAAAAGAGGGATAAAACAACTCTAATATCAGATTCCAGTTTCAGATCTATTTATTAGAGCATTAAGGACTGAAGGAGGACAACCTGCATTATTTATTTTAAAGTACACTTTAGTGAGTTTCAAGTGTCGAGTGTGTGGATGTCACTTCCTCGCTTAGCAGGTTCCAAATTCGGTGACTCTGAATACTTCTGGTCTATTACTGCGTGAGTATACTTATCCTTGTTACCATAGTAATAGATCTAGTCCCGAAATTCTTTAATTATCATGATGTGACTACCTAATCTATAAGTTCTTGCGTGGAAGTCACATTATTGTCTATACTGACTCGTCCTATCGTTAAATCAGCAAAATAACGTCTTATATTTTTGAAGAAAACGTTTTGACTGGGGATAAAATGGTATATTATGCGGAAAGACATGAGTTGCACAGAACGAACACGCCTGATAGGCCGAGCCATACTATGCCGATCACCTGTCTCCGCCTTCACCATCTTTGACCTTTATTGATGTTACACGTTGAATGCAAGTCTTCTCTGTAATTAAATGCTCAGCTAAAAGATCGTTTGTTAAGGATCCAATATCACTACAACGTTTGAAAAGTTGCTCTGTTCACTTTTGACCCTTAAACTCGCCTGCCATGTCCACTGATTTGTCCTGATCTTATAGGACGGAAGAGGGGAGATATATCATTTCTAGGATCATTTCATAGTATTCTTTACATCAAAATCAGTTCATTTTTCAATCTGTGTTGAGATGGATTGAAGTCTAAATTCTGGAGTCGTTCATTTTATGGCAGACCACAAAATTCTGGAATTGTACATGTAGCTAAGTTTACATTAGCTGGGATATATGAGTTGCGCTATCAACAGGGTCTTGCAGCATTACGAAGTTTACGAGTTTGGATTTCACTAAGGTTGTGTTAACATACGTGAATTCAGTTTGGTCGATTTTCCGTCCTAAATTGTTTTTAATTCTGGACCGCATGGAAGTGGGTAATGACTCTAATATCGTGGTCCACCGTTATCCTTAGATCACTGCGAGTCCGAACAGCGTGCACAGACCACATTGTCATTTTTCTCTAAAGGTCAAAGATACTGATATCATTACAGTAAGTAAAGACGAAATTCAGGACTACAGGGATGCATGTTGAGGCATATGTAGTGATATCTTCAAAGTGCTGGGATTAAACCCAGACGATTGTAGTTTCTAACAATTTTTAATCAAACGATGTTTTTGGTGGCAAACTGAACATTACTCTCACACCGAGGCCTCCAATTTTTTCTAAGATTCTCCTAGAGTAAGGTCGATTGTTTTCTCCTGTAATTACGAATGGGGACTACATTCAGGAGCACCTACATATATTTTTTATGGTAGGATAAAATCTCAGTCTACCGTAGTCATAGCATATACGATCGTATGCATATAATCATATATTCATTTTGACTATCTAACAGGATCATAATCATATATGACGAAAGATTGTATTTCAAATTTTGCATACTGTACCTTATATTGTGTTTGGATTCTACAACCAACATGCTTTCTGGGTTTACTGGTTTATTTCAGACCTAAATCTCACACTCAAAACTACATAATTATACATCATGAGCCACTACAGTCTAGACTTTGCACACTCATTTATATGCTATAATTTAAGTTGTATTTGTTTGCTTTAACTCACTTTCTTTAATAACCCGTTTAATTCCTTGAGTCTGTTATACATTTTGATCAGTATTTTTCATACAAAGCCGTCTCTTCTATTTTGGCTATAAAACACCATGTTAATTCTGGATGATATTAATCCTCTTTAACACCACATGTTTCTGCACTCTCCAATTTAAACTAATACAAGACTTCAGTTTAAATATGCATCACATGCACTACCTATTTCGGTCGTTGAATGCAGAATATCAAAAGTTTTATGCATGTGTGTTGTATAAAGCATATTTTTCTGTGTAATCTCTAGGTTAAAAACTATCCAACTTGAACATTTTTCGCTCTATTCTACTGCCCCGACCGTTGCTGCTACCTTGACGTGGTGGTCGGGCTTGCCTATCTTGACGAACCAATCGAGCTATACTGGCTGGAACAATCGTTCCTCAAGGTCCTATCATGCCAGACAGGTCGTTTGAAGAGCGGCGAGACTAAAAGCCGCAAACCCAATGTCCGAAGGCGAAGTCGTACTGCTGACTGTACAGAGGTGTGAAAGCTGTAAGGTGTTTCCTTCAGACAACCAGCATGACAGCGATGCTGCTTTCCCACAAGGAGGGGTGGGGTTAGAAAAGGTCGACCCTAAAAATGCACACCTCGCCTCATACCAAAAACATCCGTCTCCCGCGGTAAGGTTTTTTGAAGAACGGAGCTAACACGTCAAAAATACCCCACAAAAGGCCGTGCATGACCGACCTCAAGCAGTTGTCCCTTGGGCACTGCGGTCACGCTCTCAGGTCACTAAGACGACTTCTAATCCAATTTCCTTTTCAAGTACCTCTAGAAGAACCCTTCCACGGTGTGGGCAATCGGGAAGTGATAACTGCCCTCATACCTCTAACAGCACTCAAGATCACTGTATTCATAATCAATCTCCTTCAATTCCTATTCTCCTCCAACCTCGACTTTCAACACTAAACTTTCTCTTTCGGCTTCTTCCTTAAGTGTCATCATGGCCAACGATTCTAGAGTGCGAAACACTGTTTCAGATCTACTAAAACCTCGCTCCAAACTACACATTGGAGCCTTCAACGTACGTACTTTAAGTCAAATCGGTCAACAGGCCTCCTTAGCTAAAACCCTAGAATATCGTACCATTGATGTATGCTGTGTCTCCGAAACACGCATACAGGATCCCAGTGTGGTCATTCACTTGACCTCACCTCGCCAAAATGGACAGCCAACAAAATACACCCTCCGTGTATCTGGCGACCCCATGACTAGTTCTCTTGGACTTGCAGGTGTAGGCATAGCACTTAGTACAAGGGCAGAACAAGCACTATTAGAATGGATCCATGTTAACAGTCATCTGTGTGCTGTTCGGCTAAATGGCTCCGTAAGAACTCGGAAGGATAGGGACACACGTCGTTGCCTTTTCGTCGTTTCTGCCTACGCTCCCACTGACTGAAGCCATGATAAATTAAAAGATCACTTTTACAGAAAACTCTCCGAACTTCTTCAGAAAGCTAAACACCTAGACATAGTAGTCGTAGCGGGTGACTTTAATGCCCAGGTAGGCAGCTTAAATCAAACAGAAAGACATTTAGGTGTGTGTTTTAGTGTTCCGGCTCAACGAACCAATAATGGTGGTTGTCTGTTGCAACTATGCTCAGACAATCGTTTATTTTTTAGCAAGCACTAATTTTAAGCATAAGGAGAGACATCGTCTAACATGGCGACCACCTTCACCAAACCAACGATGGACTCAAATAGACCATATTGTCATCAGTCATCGTTGGAGAGGCTCAATAGAAGATTGTCGCTCGTATTCAAATGGTTCAAATGGTTGAGGACGGAATAGAAGAAGCTTTCGCTTAACGGGCTTCCGTGTCTAGTAGCAGTGGATCACCAATACCTCCAGGCAAAAACCTTGAAGGACTAAAACGCCGCCTGGTACTCAATATGTATGTTTGCCAGTACGCTGAGTTCTTACTTCAGAGGCATATACAGGTCCTGACTGTTGTGTTATTGTTTAAGATTGCTTCTTCTTCCAATTAAACGCTAATAGTACGTGCTGCACATCCAATATACAACTTGGGCGCGAAGCATCCAGCACAGAGTTTCCGCGACCCTCGTCTGACCTCGAGCCCTACTCATTTAGACTCTGATCACGCTTTAATACGAGCGCGCATTTGTCTGCGCCTCAATGGACGCAGGAAAAGTACACTAAGAAGACCCATTAGGATTGAACTGGAGGACGAGAAAGCCAAATGCGAATTCCAGAAACAACTAAGTTCACATCTAAGCAGTTCTCTAAACGAGACTGACCCAGATGCTGCTTGGAAAGATATACGAACAGCTGTGGAAACAGCAGTAATATCTATTAGTCATTTAAACCATAGGGCTCCAAAAAATAAATGGATTTCTTCTAAGTCTATTTCACTGATGGATTCGCGTAAACTCATCCCAGGCTCTGAACACGACGAATAGCGTAAGCAAATTAGATCTAGGTTAACTAAAAGTCTAAGGAACGATCGTGAGCAGTGGTGGGCAACGAAAGCAAAAGAGATGGAAAAGACAGCGGCTGTAGGCAACACCAGGCAACTATTCAGACTAATAAAAGAAACCGGAATTAAGAAGTCAAGTGTAAGTGAGACAATCTCGGAAAAAGTTGGAACCCTTATCTACTCTCAACCCAAACTTTTAGGACGATGGGCGGAACACTTTAAATAGCAGTTCAGCTGGCCTTCAGCTACTGCACAACTACCCACTATTCCCAGAAAACCTGAATGGAACATTGAAGTAAGCCCCCCGACCCTACTTGAAGTTCAAAAAGCTATAAGTAATCTGAAACGAGGAAGAGCAGCTGGTCCAGATGGATTGGCTCCAGAGGTCTTTAAATATGGTGGTCCAATTTTAGCGATTAGGTTGACTAATATTCTGGCTAAAATCTGGGAGACAGACGTAATCCCATCTGACTGGTCACAATCACTTATTGTCCCAATATATAAGAAGGGGTCAAAATCATCCTGTGATAACCATAGAGGGATTAGTCTGACTAACATAGTATCTAAAATACTAGCCTCAATAATTATCGGGCGCCTAACTAAGACTCGTGAACTGCAAACACGAGAAAATCAGGCTGGCTTCAGACCTGGTCGTGGCTGTATCGACCACATATTCACCATT